TAATTGCATTGATTTCTAAACTCTGTCAAAAGTTGAGCAAACACTTCTTAATGAACTATAAACTCCTTTGGGAACATCAAGGAGTTTTCTGAATTTCTATTAGGTTTGTCTGAAGCACGAAGCATGTACCAAGAACTCAATGAACATTTCTTCAAAAAAGTGATAAAAATGATGATCTTGTCTGGAAGTTTGTTAAAGGAAATTAGATTTCATTTTCAGTATCATGAATTCTTCAAAAACACTTGATTGCAGTACTTATGTGGTCTTTATTAAATCATTTAAAATATTTGGTAGCAGTTTGATTGAATATTTTAAGTATGGGGGCGGTGACTGATGGCTACATCCGTGGGTTCATCTTTTGGTTTCTTGATGCAATAAACATCTTGAAAGGGTTGTGTATTGACTTCACAGGCATTGCCCATGTTCACCGGAGGGCATTTTCAATAATCAAGCTCTGAATTAATTTCATTTTGCATTTCCTGTTAAAATTCTTAGTTTGTGAGTCAAAAATAATATAGAAGGATTTTGTTTTGTTTTGTTTTTTTCCCAAGACTAGGAAGTGTTGTGTATGCAGTATCTCACGCCAAGCAGTGGTTCTCAAACTTCTGTATGTGTTTGAGTCATTCTATACCTGTGCTAATATAGTAGCCATTGTAATTTAAGTGTTTAAGTATTTAAAATATAGATAGTTCAAATTGAAATATAAGTGTAAAATACACATCAGATTTCAAAGACTGTACAAAATAAAAGTCTCAATGATTTTTATATTGCTATGTTGAAATGAAAATATTTTGATTATATTGGGTTAAATGAAGTATATTTTAGGCTGGGGTTGTGGCTGAGTGGTGGAGCACTTGCCTAGCACATGTAACGCACTGGGTTTGATTCTCAGCACTACATAATTGATAAGTAAATAAATGTTAAAAAAAAAGAAATATATTAGTAGAGGTACTTTCATCTGATTCTTTTACTTTAAAAATATGGCTGCTAGTACATTTAAAAATACATATGCAACTTGCATTTTTGATTCATGTTATATTTCTATTGGACAACTTTAGCCCTGATGCTTGTTTAAAATGTTGATACATGGGTGGAGATGGTGTCATATACCTGTAATCCCAGCTGATCAGGAGACTGAGGCAGGAGGATCACAAGTTCAAGTACAATTCACAATTCAGTGAAACTGTCTCAAAACAAAAAAATTAAAAGGGCTGGAACTGTAGCTCAATGGTAAAACACCCTTGGGTCCAGTCCCCATTACTGAAAAGTAAAATATTGATTCTTGTGTCCCAGAAAGATTCTGCTTTGGTTGGAACCCCAAAATCTCAAAATCTTTTAAGTTTATGGGGTGTAAACTGGTAAGTTAGGGTAGGGAATCATTGTTTTATACACTTTTTAACCTAAAAAATTTATTTATGTATTTTCATTTGTACCTTAACTTGGTACATTTGCATTTTTTAAATTTCATTTATTCAAATTTGTTATATATGGCAGCAGATGCAATTCATTTCATATTATACAAATAGAGCACAATTTTTCATGTCTCTGATTGTACACAAAGTACAATCATACCATTGGTGTTTTCATACATGTACTTAGGGTAATGATGTCTGTCTTATTCCACTGTCTTTCCTACCCCCATGCTCCCTCGATTCCCCTCTCTTGCCTTTGCCCTATTTAAAGTTCGTCTATTCCTCCCATTCCCACTATGAATCAGTATCCTTATATCAGAGAGAACATTCAGTATTCAGGCATTCAGTTTTGGGAGATTGGCTTATTTCATTTAGCATTATATTCTCCAACTTTATGCATTTACCTGCAAATGCCATGATTTTATTCTCTTTTAATGGTGAGTTCATTGTGTATATATGCCACATTTCCTTTATTCATTAATCTACTGAAGGGTATCTAGGTTGGTTCCACAATTTAGGTATTGTGAATTTAGCTCCTATAAACATTGATATGGCTGTGACYCTGTAATATACTGTTTTGAAGTCCTTTGGGTATAGACCGAGGGGGATAGCTGGGTCAAATGGTGGTTCCTTTCCCAGTTTTCCAAGGAATCTCTTATACTGCTTTCCATATTGGCTGCACCAATTTGCAGCCCCACCAGCAATGTATGAGTGTGCCTTTTTCCCCACATCCTCACCAACACTTATTAGGTGCAAATCTCCATCATGTCGGATTAGGCCCAACTTCCTTAATAAGACTCCTATAGTGCAAGAATTAAAATCAATAATCAATAAATGGGATGGATACAAACTAAAAAGCTTCTCAACAAAAGAAACAATCAGTGAAGTGAATAGAGAGCCTACAGATTGAGAGCAAATTTTTACCACACCTACATCAGGTAGAGCACTAATCTCTAAGCTATATAAAGAACCCAAAAATCTTAACACCAAAAAAAAAATCAATAAATGTTTTATTCAACTTGACCAGATGTTGGTGATAGGCTTCAACACAGCCAAGATTGAAAGATAACAAATCCAATATTGATTCTCAATATCAATTCTGTTATAATTGCCATCCATTATAGTTATGTTGGTGTTTTTAATTCACAAAACACTTTATAATCACAACATATAGACTTTTTATATAACTAAAGGTAAGGCAATTAAGCAAGTATCTATCACCAATTTAAGTATGCTTAATCTTTGATCCTTAAAAAATAATCTTGCATTAACATTAAACAGAGATGAGTGGTGGGAGGGTAAGGGAGAGAAAAGGGAAATTGCATGGAAATGGAAGGAGACCCTCATTGTTACACAAAATTACACATAAGAGGTTGTGAGGGGAAAGGGGAAAAAAAAAAACAAGGGAGAGAATTGAACAACAGCAGATGGGGTAGAGAGGGAAGATGGGATGGGAGGGGAGGGGGGATAGTAGGGGATAGGAAAGGTAGCAGAATACAACAGTCACTAATATGGCATTATGTAAAAATGTGGATGTGTAACCGATGTGATTCTGCAATTTGTATTTGGGGTAAAAATGGGAGTTCATAACCCACTTGAATCAAATGTATGAAAGATGATATGTCATGAGATTTGTAATGTTTTGAACATCCAATAAAAAATAATAATAATCTTGCAGGTATGTTGTCACAAGTTCTATATATTTATAATTCACCTGTGTGCTGTTTGAAATTTTGAAAGATTGAAATTGATGAAATAATTTATGCTATATCCAACTACATATTATGCAGGCTATAAAGAAAAATAAGGTATTCTATATGTACTGATAGGGAAAGATATATGTGATGTTTACAACAAGAAAAAGCAAGTTGCAGAAGAGTATATAGATCCCCCTTGTATGTGAAAAAATATGTACATATAGTTATACATTGTGGTTACAACTGGTATATAGAACTGGGAAAAATATTCCCATGGATGTGGAAAGGAGATCTTACTTTGCTTTTATATCTTTCTGTGCTGTTTTAGTTAAAAAAAAAAAAAAAAACTATGAACAATATGCAAACTTACATTGTACATTACAAATAATATACAAACACAATATAAAGCCCAGCCAAGTAAATACTTCATCATTTAGGTTCCAGTTAGGGAAATTTGCTTTTTACTATTACCTTTTAATCTGAAGTTTGCCTTTCATTCTAGCTTTCTGAATAACCATCAAATATATTAATTTAATCATTAACCAGTAATCACTGAAAACCTATTTCACACTGGTCACTGTTCTAAACCAGAAAACTGAACTGCAGTGCACAAACCAGATGTGCTCCTCACACCACTCTAAAAGAGGAAACSGACCAAAAACAAACGCACACCTTAAGAGTTTTAACCAGTAAGAAGTGCTATGAAATAAAGACCTGAATATCTTCCTAGGGTTTGGGGGGGTTTTGTTTGTTTTTGTTTTGTTTTGCCGTTTTGTTTGCTGAGCTGGGAATCCAATCCAGGGCCTCATGCCCCATGCTCCCAAGCTGGTCTGGAACTCCTGGTCAGAAGAAATCATCCTTCCTCCAATGTTCAATGTTGTACATGCACACACACATATTCACTCATACATGCTAATTATGGGAAGCATTACTTTAGAACTTTTGTCGTTTGTGTTAAGTATTCAGGATACTTCTCAAATTAACCTTGCTCCTCAACTCCCTATGACTAATTTGGTATAAGAAACTAAAAAATAGCAAAGCAATTTAGTTGTGTGACCTTGGACAAATTACTTAGCTGCTTTCGGTCTCAGTTTCCTCTATAAAATGGAGTATTTAAGCTGAGGTTTGCTGTCTCAGCAAGCCTTCTAGGGACTGGTTACAGTATAACAGCAGCACAAACTGGAGTGGGATGCGTCTAGATAAGGGTGGGCGCTCGCGCCAGCGTTGCGACTCAGCTGTGTCGCGTGCCGCGCGACTGGGCGGCCCTCAGGAGAGGCGCGGCTTTCTCGCTGTGGATGGGAGGACTAACGCGGCGCCTTCAGTGTTTTCACCGAGCATTTCTCCCCTTTCTGAGAGTGTGGTAGCCAGTGCTCACCAGCTCCTTCAGCGACCGCCGCTGGGTGCCAACTTTCGCACGGCGCCCCCTAGCCAGCTCGGATTCTCCAGTTGGTGCTAAAGTGAAGCTGATCTACGCTGTAAAACTGAAGTTCACTCCCGGACCCAGTCTGTGCAGGTCGAACTTGGCGCGAGGCAGGCGATGGCCTCGCCTCCAACTGCGGCTCGTAGTTTGAATTCTGGCGCCACTCCCGCGCCACGTAGGGCCGAGTCGCCCGCCAGACTCGGAAGCGACGGACCACTGCGCGCCTACGGGTGCGCGCCAGGAGATGAACGGGCACGCGGCGGTGGGAGGTGCGCGCACCACGCCCAGGAACGGCCGCGGGAAAAAAAGAGCCGCCGCGCGCGCTCCCGCTCGATCGCCTCCGGAAGAGGCCACGCCCCCATCATCTCCCACATCCAATAGGTGCGGGAGGGCGGGGCGGCCTCGGTCTGATTCAGGAGAGATTATATAAGGAGCTACGCGGGCTCTGCCTCCTTCTTTTTCGGGGAGACGGCGGACCTGTTGTTTGGTATGTGTGCGAATGGGTGTCAGGCCAGTACCGAGGCTCCGTGTATAGTTGGGACTGGCGTACTTTGAAGCGATCTCGGAGCCTTGATCCTAGAGTGCTAGTTGTTGGAAGTTTGCACATGCAGAACGCGCCGCCGGGTCGCCACGTGCCTTGAATAGAGTCCGGGAGACAACTTACTGAAGGGCCTATGGCGCCACGAACGGAGGTTTTCTGGCTTAGGCCCAGGGCAGGCCTGAGCCTGAGCGTCGACGGGAAAGTCACCTGAGGATTTACAAAAGGTACAAAAGTGTACTTATGGATACTGTGTACACGTGTAAGGGATGATGAGGTTAATTTAAGAACAAGGGGTGCGGGCTGGGAATATACCTTACTTGGTACAGGGCTTCCCTCGCTTGCGCAAGAAAGGCCCTAGCTAGGTTCAATCCCCAACACCACACACACACAAAAAAAAGAATAGAATCAAGGGGCACTTATTAACATGGCGAATGCTTTTTACTTTCCCCAGATTATTTCAACATGAACAGCCCCAGCTCTTTATGGACCTTGGTGCTGCTTGAAACCCAGGCGGCGCTGTATGCAGTACGATTTAACGAGTGGGAGAGAATTAACTGCAGGGAAAAAAATTTAAACGTGACATTCTGAGAATGTTTGATTGCAAGCATCGATCCCCCGCAGTAATGATGGCGCTAGCTTTCAGTGGTCAATCGGAGCGGCTACATGGACATAAAAAGGTAAGGGTTACTGAGCTTATTTTTTAAACCAAAGCTGACGTTTTTTATTTACTGTAATAGAAAATGGTGTGTAACCATTTAAAATTTTTTTTTGGTAGATGCATAAGAAAATCCCAAAACATGTCATGGAATGTTTAGCAAAGAATTAATTGCTTAAAACCTGACAGTCAACGCTTGGTATGTATTCGGCCTAGTATTCTATAGATAATATATGTATGATTGGTCAAATCAGTGATGAAACCTATCCCGAAGCTGATTACCTGAAGAAAATCATGTACGGATTCGGCTTCTGAGATGAAGACCAATAGCTGTAGATGAAATGTGTAAATTTTTTGTTCCATTCATTCACCTTAAATCAGATATATTTGTTTTTCTGCCAACAGTGATTGTGACTGTGTGCCCACTCAGGCCAGTTTGCTGTAAAATTCATAAGACAGAACAATTTCTGTAAGTGCATATTTTTTTCTTTAACAATATTGTGTCCTTGGTCTTATCTATGATGATCCTATCCCGAAACTGAACTCCTGTTGAAACAAACTTAATTACGGATCTGGCTTCTGAGATAAACCATTGAGGACAAAGTTTTTTGATACTATTAAATAAGCTTTTAATGTTGATCATCTTGTAATTTTTGTTTTTCCTTTTCTAGGACTAGCACCACAAAGTCTCCTTTTTCTACTATGAAAACCTGGTGATAAGAGTAATCCAGAAAAAGCAGACATGAAGAGAAAACATACAGTTTGGGATTCTATTTTTTTTAACCATAGCTAAACCATGAACTAATGGGTTTTTAACAGGAGGGTCTTGAACTTTGCATAATTAACCTTGTCAAATTATTCCTCAGTGTTTTGCCATTAATCACCTCTTGAATTTAAGATACATAATTGTAATTAAAACTGAGTCAAAGTTGACACTGCCTTATAATTTAGTTTCTTATAGAGATGTCTGGTTATTGATTACAATAACTGGTTAATATAACAATAAAATTTTTTATTAACCCATTTGAGTCCCAAGTTTTCAATTCTGAAACTATTCCCATGAAATTATTGACACTGGTATGTTAAAATAGTTGGGAAATCTTATCAACCTTTCCCTATCCTGTCCAGCACCCTATTCTTAGTCACTGCATATGAGATAATAAAATACTAGTCTCTAATTGGCATATTTCACTTAATATACTTAGCTAGTTCCATGTTGTCACAAATGACAGGAATTCATTCTTTTCATAGCCGAATAGTGTTCCATTGTGTATATGTGCCACATTTCCTTTATCCAATCACCCATCCATGGACATGGGAGGTGTCCACAGATGGTGAACAGCACTGCAATAAACAAGTACAGACGTCTGAAATGCTGCTTTTGATTCCTATGTATATATGCCCACGAGTGGGGATTATTGAATCACACGGTATGATGGAGGTTTCATACCTTTTTTCCATAATGGATGTACTGATGATGCACATTCCCCTCAATTATGTTTGAGAGTTCCTCTTCCCATCCTTGCCAGCATTTGCTAATTTCTCTTTGCTAACAGCCATTCTAACTTGAGTGAGATGATATTGCATTGTTTTGACCTGCATTTCCCTAGTAATTAGTGATGTTGAGCATTTTTCAAATACTTGCTGGTATATATATATATACTATACATACACATTTTTTTTTTTTTTTTTTTTTTTTTG